AAGTCTGAATTAGTGCATGGAAAAGCACTCAGCGTCCCCCTTCCTTGGATCTCGCCCTCTTGCTCCAACCGCAGGTCTTACAGCTTGCTGTCAGCCGTTCAGATGAGTTGTGCCATGTGGATGAGCACATGTACAAATTAAAGAACAATTAAAATGGCCTGCTTTCAACTCAGGCGCAAGTTTTCAATCCTGAATCAAGTAATCTTAGCGTTCATTGAAAAATCAAAATTTCCCTCGTTGCAAGGTTGCTTTTCGTTAGACTGGAGCTTTACCGCTGTTTTGCTCCGTAGCTACCAAGAGCTCTCAATCTGGGGTTAAGTTAAGGGTTGTTTTAATTAAACAGCGTCTCCTTCAGACAGCGTAACCTCCGTTTATGCCTGCCTCGAAGGTTGGCTAACCTCCGGCCTGCCCGGCTCGGCGCGCCGGAGCGGCAGCCTGTCACCGCGCCGGCTCGCTGCTGGGAAGTGGCCAAGTTGCCTGCAGACACTGCTGCTTGCACGGATCAAACTCGCAGCTACGCTGCTTGTTAAGCTGACGCCTAATTAGCGAGCAAAGGATATGCTTTTTAACTTTATGGTACCTACATGTAACTCGCCGTAATAATTTCAGCGAAAGAAGAGCAATGTCAGTCTAGATAACGTGCCCTGCCCGGTATAAACCGGGGTCCGGATTCACGCGCTCTGTGCGCTGCTCCGGTGACTTAAAACAAACATGAGCCCGAGCGAACGTGACTGCCTGGCGGCCGGGTTTCTGCATGTCAGATTAAAACTTGCTTATGCATAAAAATCCAGCGGGAAGGAATTCCAAGTATTCCTCGCCCTGTCCGCCGTCCGCGCGCTACTACCTGAAGACTGCTCGCTGCAACAAATAAAAAGCACCGTTTAAAGTAACTAAATAAGGTACTTAGGGAGGCTTTAAAAATTGATAACTAAACTTACTGTACGGGATCGATCTTAATTACTGCCCATGTGGAATTTTCTTCTCGTGGCTTTTTTTTTTTTTTTCCACATGAAAAAAAACACATTAATGAGAAACTTTAAAGGCTTGTTAACAATATCCTTTCATCAACCGAGGGCGCTGCCAGCGCCCTGCGCTCACGTCAATTTTCACCTTAGCGCACAGCTACCATTGCTTACGTTCTTATCCCTGCTCCCAGGCTCACGCGCAGATGCTTGTCTGAGCGGACCCGAGGGTGATGGAGGCCAGGCGTTCCCCGGCTGTCTGCAGCTGGTGCCACTCGGTCCGGAGGACGTCGGGCTGCCGCCCTCCGTCACTCGGAGACACGGCGGTACCTGCAGTTTCTCCAGCCGCCGCCGGCCCCCCTTCCAGCTGCCACCTCCGCGTTACTTCACACAGCCCAGGGGCTGGTCTGCATCAGCCCTCGTCGCGTCTCCGAAACCCAGAGAGAATAAAATGGATGCGCGCTTCCACTCCGTAAGCGCAAACTTTTGATCAAAAGTGGCTGAGCAAAGGAGTCCCCTCCTCGTCCTCCTCCCCATCACCCCTCCGCCAAAATAGAGTTCAGGTAATTCGGTAAGGGGAAAAAAAAAAAAAGAGACTACACACTTAAAAAATCAGATTTGTTCCTAGCTAAAAAAAAAAATAGCATGCAACAACAACAATAATAATAAAAACTGATCATAATCTGGAAAAGCTGAACTGCTAAGAACAGAGAGAGATGCAAGGCTTTGCCAGGGCAGGCCTTCTGGGGAAGAAAAAAAAAAAAAGAGAAAAAAATGGGAAAAATGCTACCTTTTCAAGCCACGAATTAAGCTTATTTATTTGTTACTCATACCCTGTGCGTGTTATTTGGAACAAAAATAGCACCTAGTCCTTTGACAAGCTGTATTTGCACATCAATGTAACTGAAATATCCTGTCTACTTTAATGGCAACGGAGCGCACTGTCAGTAATATTTTCCATTGTTTTTAAAGCCAGCCGCAGCAAAACAGACTGGAGGTGTACAGCAACGGAGCAAGGGCAGAGGAGTTGGAAAGAGACGCTTTTGGAAGATATTTCTACTCAGTTTCTGCATGAATATAAAAGGAATTACCAGTAAATCTGTAAATGCAATTCTTCATGGATTTTTACATTCCTATACGATTCTTACTGAGCAATTATTCTTGAAATAGCACATAAATCTTACAGGACTCCCATCGGATTACCGTGCTTTAAGTTTTTAAGCAAGCTTTGTATAGGTTTATTCTTTTATTGCATTTCCTTTAAAGGAAAGCAAGTCTTCAGTACCAACGTTCACGATAAAGAGCCATTTAAATACAAACTGTATCCCTTTGACCTAGGCACGACACATACTGGAAATACCACGATTTTTAAAGTTGCTAAAACACTGGGAAAAAAAAAAGAAGATAAGAGATAACAATCTGTGATCTTTCTAGAAGAAACAACGATCTGTGATGTGCACAGAAGCGACAGCGCAAAATCGCTGCTCGTTGCCTGCAACTTCAGATAATTTGGCAGGCGACCACGCCGTCCCGCGCACCGCGTCGCCCTCCGTCCCGCAGCTGCCGCAGCCCGCGGTTAACGTGCCGCTGAAAAGGAGCCTGGTCCTCGAGGACCGCTTGGAAAAATTAAGCGGAAACTTTCGGGGCCAAACCACCGCTGGCCTGCTCAGGCGGCG